TGACGAAATCTCAACACGGATATAGAAGGCTTGTCTGGCATTCGACCGAGAAACGTCTGTACTGCTCAGTAATTCGCTCCGTCCTCCTTCATGGCTGTGAGTGAGACATTGTCATTGAAGGGGAAGACATGAAAGGGTCTTTGATCATAGGTGTCTGCATTCTGTCTCCATTGTTAGGTGGTATAATAGAGTAAGCAATATTGAAGTTAGGCGTCGATTGCTAGGTAACGAGGGAAAATCAATCGATGGGGTTATGAAGTTACATCGATTGACAGGATTGAACCATATGTTACGCATTCCTGACATAGGATCAGGTTGGAAAATAGCTAGTGGTGGTCAAACCAAAACACGGCTTCATCAGTCATTGAGATCCACAACAGTTAGTTCAAGCCACGCAGGGAGGTGTGGGCTTCGTGGTTGGGGTCGGCAGGGTGGTGAGAATCGATGACTGGAGACAGTTGGTGGTATGCCTTGAGATCGTTCTCAATCGCGCAAATGCATTCACTCTTTGCGATTTGTCATATCCAGTAAAAATCCATCGTTCTTACACATTACAGTTTTCCCCCTTATACTGCTGTTTATTATCTCTCTTCTCTTGATTTGTGTGCTATATAGAGTGTGGCGACTCAAACTGTCACACATCTGTGCAAAGTTCTACGTTGACACCAATCAGTCAGCCATATCACCAGCTGCTTGGGACCGTGAATATTAGTTGACCAGAACGTTGGGAATCACTTGCCGAACTGACCTGATATTTTGATATTTCAACTGTTAATTATCATATTTTAACATTTCGTTTGTACATTAATAAGTTTGTTGTTATGATAATACTGATTTAATGTATATAATTTTTTCATACGTTAATGAGATTGGTAAGTGATACTTAGAGGTAAAAATGAAAAATCTTTAATGTTGTCAGGATTCCAACTGGCATTATAACTACTAGTTCATCCACTACTGTTATTACTGTTAACATTATTATCCAAATCATTTCTTCAATTTAAGAATATCTCATATAATACAGTGAACACTTGGCTACTCTTTTTCTACCTAATTTAGTACAGTTTGAATTTGAATGAGATGGTTAGTGTCGAACAGTTTATATAACAATATTGGGAAAACAGTCACATTACAACTGATGCAATAAGACAATCTTATGAAACCGATGAAGTTGTTGTTTTAAGCTGTTAACCTGATGAAAAATTACTGGACAGACTAATATAGTTGAACCTATCAATCAAAATGTGATGTAAGTGGAAACCAAGGTTCGGTGGCTGATATACATGATCCCATTACAAAAATATCTACCTACGGTGAAGAATAAGTGTTTTAATTCAAGCTGTTTTATGCAGCGCAAATTTCTTTTTATTAGAAAAGGGGTGCGAAACTAATCGTTTTGCAGGATAAAACTAGTCAGAGGTAAGTTCAAGCCCGGCATCCAGTCAGTTCATAGAAGTCAAGAAGTTAAATCAATGGGTCTCACACCTGTTTCACGACATGAACACGGCACTCTTCTAAACGTTAATGATGGATAATACAGGGAAGAAATGTTTTAAAAAAACGTAATAAAGCCGAATTGTCTTTCATATCCATTTTTATAACGTATCTAATATTAAGTATTTTATCGTAAACAACCGATTAATGATTATATTTACCAGTAGTCGTAGCAATCTTCCATTATTTGGAATAAGCCAATCGCTTGTATCAGTATCTTATTGAATATATAGTACATGTATTACCTTGTAGACACCTGTTATTTTTATTAAGCTACTGAATTTGGATATTGATTTTTTAAGTAATTTTGTATCGTTTAATATTCTAGTCTGGTACTACATCTTGAAGACTTTCTAAACATTGGTAAATAATATCAGGTTCGCAAAACCAACCATCTCTAAATAATAATAATAATAGTAGTATTGTAATAACAGAAGACAAGGGCCAGGCAACAGATCAGTTTTATTACGAAAACCAACAGGTATTTATATGTATTTTACGTACATTAATAAGGCTCTGCCCGCAGAAAGAAGGCGGTCTTCTGATTGGTTGTTTGCAAACAAACGCAGTCTTCTGCTTTCTCGTTTTCGATATTTCTCGGAAATGCGAGCCACTTGTCTGCGAATCATATTTGTCCACGTCTAGGTCAGCTGTGATCGGTTGTTGAATCAGCCTAGATTAATTTCCACCAATCAGCGTAGATCAATGTCTACCAATTGGCTAGCAGCTTGCTCTCACCACAGTATGAAGAAGGCAAGATTTTTGTCTCAGACCCTTTAATAGCTTGATTAAAAGACATCACAGACGATAACAATTATGAATTTATGCACAAAAATGACCTCCTTCACAAAGCGACACATAGGAAAGTCAATGGCTATTACTAGACAAAATGAATGCAGAAAAAAGTTGAAATCCTCATTATGGCGTAGCAATTATGAGCTTAAATGACATAGAGAAATTGTGAACTATCTAGTTTTTCTAACAGTCAATCATTGTAATATATTATGGACGTTTACATCAAGGTGTGATAAAATGTTTTAATATTGTAGTACACGCTTTTCGTTAGGATAGGAGAGAAAAAAACATTGTATGTAGTGTTCAGCTGAAATTTGAAGAATTCATTAACATTTATTCTTTAAAATTTGTATCACGATTCAGATTTCCTTTCAATTATATAGAGCAGTGATGAGAAATAACAACAACAACATGTTTTTAGGAACAATATGAAATATCTATCTGCAAAATTTCACTAATCTAATAAACTGAAGGACACCAACACAGAGTTTCACTTACTATCTAAACATGAGAGTGTATACAGTGTTTGCAATGCCTGTAAAGGCAAAATTTAAGTACTACAGTATTTCAGTTATCTTACAACAACAGCAACATACTCGAAGAATTTATAGGAATGTGTTGGAAAATACTTCAGAGGTACTGTCCAATGCGACTTCTATTCGGTTACTACTAATCTCTCTATTTATTTTACAACCTACAATACCAGTAGTACTGTGGTGAGTGCTACTTATAATCCGATATAAGTAGTATATCAGAAACGAAGTAACAATATGTTTGGGACACTGGAAAGAGCAATCAAAGAAGAGAACCATGAGAAGAATGTTGCCATATGATGCAGAATCCAAGAAGCTATCAAATGAGACGATATTCGACCAATTCGTCAAGGATGTGGTGAAGATGTGCAAATGGCCGGTTGAGAATATGGTATACCAAATTTAGCCATGTACCATACACGTTTCATCAAATAAACATTCCTTTGAGTCTCATCGGTCTTTTCTTCTTTACTGTACAACAGTCATCATCAGTATCACTTCATAACGAATTAACTAACGACTTAGAAAAACTGCTTTCCACTAGAAGGTCACAAGTTCATTATTACCTGGTGATACACTATTCAGATAAACGGTCTGCAACAGCCAAGTGAGCCAAAGTGAACACGTATAACATGAACATACAAATGCTGATTACTGATTGACTGAAAAATATAAATTCTAATACTATCTAGAATGTAGTCAAACGACAGGCTTTTTGTGAGGGAAGGGAAATGCACATATAAACAAACTACTCCACTTAATTTGAAGCTATTGCGTTCAAAATGCCGTTCAGGTCAGATTTCAGGAGTAAATCAGCCGGTATCTTATGTGCATAGCACCAAATGTATCCATATGTGAGAAAGCCCATAATTATTAAAATATTGATGATAATTTTTAGCCCGTCAGAATACAGTCTGTAGGGTTCAGTCCGTTCTACACAAAAGGCAGACGACATAAGCTACGTAAAACCAAGCTGTCTTATTTCGTTCATAATCATTACAATTCCCCAATTTGTGTAGTTTTGGAATTTAGGTGATACTGATAATACGAAAAGGGAAATAAAACTTTTGATGAACAGCAGATTACAGTAGATAAGTATATGCATCAGGTAAATGCAAAAGAGCTTTCATTATTATCAACAGTAGAAGAAACAAAGAGAGACGAGCATTTTCACCATCGGTTATAATTATAGGCCATATTTCATAACCTGTCGAACCATTTAGACTTATCAACATATGTCAAACCAACAGAGGTATTCTTCCATCTTTGGTGCTGTTTCATGGACTGACCAACTCCCCATTGTATTAGCCTGTTTCACACCGTGCAGTATGAAAGCCGATCGGATGGCATTATTAATATATGTAAAAGCCTCAGAAGTTGGTGTATCGAGACGACATCGTTCACTGAAGGACGATACCCACCATACTCGGACAAGCACTGTAGGACCTAAACAAAATTACATGATATCTCTATCGTACTCAAGTCATTCTACGGACAATCAAACAAGTGATATTTTAAAAAACTATCAACTTGGAGAGGTTAATTTTGACAGACGTAGATTTGAGAAGTCTGTTATAGCACATAAAGCCAATATAAATCGTGTATCCAAGGATGGACAATCTTTCTCTACGCAACAGACTGACACTACGACCACGTACATCCATTAGAGTTGTCACTAGAATATCGCTGTCAGTGAAATTAAAATAATAAACAGACCTGTCGAACATTCCTGTTAATTGTGAATTGTTAAGAGATGACCCTATACCCACACTTTCTCTGAGGCGTTGTCATATAAGGCTTTCAGAGTAGTCATACGCAATCTTGAATCAAAGTCCTGTCAAACAAATTGCAAGTGGGTCTATTATCAAAAAATACAACGTTTGTTGGCCTGCAATATGTGGAACGTATTTCTAACAACTGAAGGATAAACATTGACATCTTGAACAAAATCCAACCCACTTATCGTAATTCAACTTTTCACGCGTTTCGCGAAAGCGGTGGGTAACCAATACAGTTCACATGTTCACGATAATGATGATGAGTAATCGACAAATGTCAGCCACCATATGAGTAATATCGGTTGGTATCACGTGACTGGTTTGTAAATGGCAAACTACATAGTAAGAACTTTACTGATCCTTTTTATAATGCAGTCGACATTTAAATATAAAACCATTGTATTATTCACCATTTTATATTATCTAATACAACAAGATTTATCAAACAGATGAATTTACAAAGCATATAAGTCCTACTATCACACAGTGTGAAATACAAACAGTTCAACAAATGAAGAAAGAAAAAAAACAGTAGGTTGAAACCTCAATCATAATGCTAGTTCACCACCAAACCGTAAACGCAGAAAGTCTTGTTGTGATCGTTTTTCAAGACCATCCAATTCTTTCACTGATGACGCTAAGAGATCTACGTGACTTTTATACTTTGGAGCCACTGAAGGAGACAAGAAAAAACGTCAAATGAATTTGAAATGATAAAAAAGTGAAAACACAATATACAAACAGTTGATTACCTAGTAAGTATGGTGAAGCTGAATATTTCATGTAGTAGTAGTAGTATTTTCTTTATAGTGGTACACACAGAAAGCTAAGATGCTGGATAGCTAAAGTAAGCAAGTGAGTATGAGTAGAATTATGCCTTTTTTGTATGAAGCACATCCTCATTGTAATTAAATAAAATTGTGGTGGTGTGACAGACAGACAATGTGTTCCAACGGAATATGATTCTCACATATTCCCACAGTTCAATACAGCATTAGCAACAGAATACCACATATCTATTTGAACAGTCTGTTTGATGTTAGAGTCAGAATATTTTTCCAACAGTTCAATACTGCGTTAGCAACAGAATACTATGCATATTTGAACATGCTATTTCGTGAACTAAGATCACAAACTCAGTGATTGATTAACGAATATAAACTGTTTATGTATATAAAAAACGGTTTGATTAATGATTATACCTTAGCTTCCGTGCCTTGTCTTCTGTTGTTAGAAAATTAAGACAACGGAAGTTTTACTTCTATACATTTATAAAGTAAATTCTTCATCAATCTGGATGGATAGGCTGTATTGGTATGCTCATATACATAAAAAACTACGAAGTTAAAGATGAACATATACTGCCTTAGGCGTTGTGTTTTTGATATATTGTTACGTTTATGTAATGCATTGAGACTACAGTGTTTCAGATTCCTAGTCTAAGGTAATCACAGCAATTAGAAATTACTTCATTTTAAGGTTTTTCGGTTGCTTAAATAAAAAATTAAAAAGAAAGTGAAATAAAGAATTTAAACATATCAGAGAGTCATAGTAACGTATGTACATACTCCACAATCTTTTAATAAGATTATCTCTACCGGTTATTCGAAAAACCTAAGACAGATATACAAAGTCATAACTGAAGATTGATTTCAAAGTCTCTGCGATGTTGTCAATTATACCGAACCGGACTATCGCGTGGTTCCTGTCTCACATACTACAGTCAGTGCAGCAGGGTAGTCACTTGTCTTTTGGAACTGGGTGAAAAAAAAAACTTCAAATATTTTTGAATAACTTACTCTGCTTCAATTTTTGCCCGTACACAACTTTCCCATCAAAAGCATCAACAGGTACACTTAAATTTTTGTCTACTGTATCAATGGTAACACCCAAATGTTCTTCAATTTCACTCAACAAATTAGGTTCATTATACCATGTACAACATCCACCTTGATCTAATAAACGAGTATTGTAACAACCACGACCACGTGTAGAACAGTTAGAGTGATACCATACCTTTTAAAATAAAATTGATTGAGGATGACATTAATTTTCTTTTCTGAGAGATCATTATTTAACGAATGAATAAGAAGGCTTAGTGACAAAATGTTTCTTAACCCAATGAAGCAAAAATATCTCATGCCTAGTTATCTATTAGAAATGAATAGGAAAGCAAACCATATGATATACGGTATTTTGTCTGATGTAAACAACGTTCTCCCCTTTGTTAATGCGATTTCTAGAATCATATGTTATAGCATAAGAAGGGTATTACACTATGTGAAATGCCTACACTGTTCATCCACGTTTTATGTTGGTGAACATCCCAATGGAATCCAATTAAGCAATCGCTGCTTCATGTTGCTCATATTTTGTAAACGCTTATGTAAGCTTTGCTATTTGAACATGATAAAAAAACTATATAGATGAAGAGATTTCAGCGCCATGGAACGTAAATAATAAAATAAATAAACAACCACTGTGAGAACGACGTTATTTTAGTTACAGTTAGCTAACTTTATCACTGAATCCAAATTACGTTATAATACACAGGTCGATGATTCAGTCGTCAAGAACGCAAGTGGCGTGGGTTTGATTCCCTACTGACGCACTCATAAACCTCCTTCAGCTGTTATTAAGCCCAGTGAAGAGTGAGGGCTGAGCACGAGGATAGGAATCCTGCCCCGTAAAAGTAACGTCATCGCTACTAAAACTCCAAAGCTCAAACCTGAAACTCGATGTTCCACTGCGAAAGTGAAGGGATGTGAAAAATACAAGTCCATAAGTAGCATAAAAATGTAAACGCCCAGTTTTTATTTTTGTAGAGTTTTTGTCGAATTGAAATGTGTTGAAATCTAAGTCAGTTATGCTTTAACTGAAGAGCCCTGTTGTGAGTGGGCCAAATTATGTGTTCACTACGTTTTTAAATCACGATTTCTAATTTAGTCTTGAAAATCGAGACAAGGAAACATTCACAGAACAAGAAAATTAACATTTTACTGACAGTTGCAGGTCAGATTTTGAAATAAGATTTAACCCATCAATCATTGAGAGATGTACGCGATTAGAAGACTACTAGATGTTTTTATTGGGAACACAAAAACAGAACTCGTACATTATGTGCACGAAAAAAGCCGTACATAGTTGCAGTATAATGAATCTATTTTGTAGTATATTACGCGTTGACAAGTTGGCTCTGCTTAGTTTTCCACCAGAAAATATTTCATTTCTCACAGATAGGTCAATGGATTTATTGATATATTGTCCCTCTTTTTGTATGACTATTGTGAGAAGTCATGTCAGTTGGTACTATAAAGTTATTCCCTTTGTTCTCTAATTTCTATGATATCACTCACTGGAAGAGTAGTGTGAAAACAAAGCTTTTTTATATTCATCTAGAGAGATCTCTTTTCACTTTGTGCTTGTAATTAAGTGGGTTGATGAAGTAATTTCTTAGGGAGAGTGAATCAAATTTGATGAAAAAAGTTACTGAAAAAATTTCATTCACTGTTTGTGTTGTAAATGTTGTCATATCAGTTTTAATAGACAAGCCATTATAAGGTGCAGGAACACTTAAAATGATGACAAGACATAAATACAGTATCGGACGTCAAATGAATCTTGAATGAACATAACTAACTATGTAATGAAACCTGAAAGAATTTCTACTGACTCATTGTTGATTTCTCTGGAGTTTCTCATTCTCATAGTATTTTAATTAATCAGAAGTACTAAGTGTATGATAATTTGCCTATTCACTCAACGCATACATCCGATTTACTAACTAGGCACAGCGGTAGAATCCTCGCCAACCACGCATGTGGTCCGGGGTTCGATCCCTAGCTGACACACTCCTTTACCTCGTTTAGCCACGAATAAGACTGGTTGGGTATGAGGCTGGCAACCCCATCCCATAGAAATAAACACCACTGCTCCTGAAACTTAAAAGCTCTAGCTTAAAGCCCTATGTTCCACTGGGAACGTAAGGGAATAAAAAAACTAGATTATACAATAAGTATGTTTTATTGTAAAGTTTTTGAAAGTAAAAATTGGCTGGTAAGTTTCACATGTGTTTAAGTAGAGTCACAACCTTTCATATTAAACTAAAAGTATAATCCAACGAAGAAATTAGAAATTAATAGATTCACTGACTTACCTTTTCTTTGACAGTTGAAACTAGACTAATAGCCAAACCCATTCTAAAATAGTCAAAACAATGAAAATTTTTATTTTTATTTTTGAATTTCAGCTTGATTCCACACCGTATTTTCAGTACAAGTGTGGAATTTTCAGCATGGATATCGGTAGTCCAAATTCAGGCCGACCATAGATATCGGGTGTGCGCCGGCAGGGAATCGAACCCCGGACCATGTGCATGGTCGGCGAGAGTCCTAACCACTGTGCCACCGACGCACAAGACGGTTCTTACCATGCAACGAATCACAAGATTAAAACCGAGACAGTTACAGACTTAGGAAGAAATGCATTTGATACAGTCCAATTTGTTTAGTCAGAATGATAAACACTTAAACTGAAATAGAATACATTATGAAGCATTTTTCAGCAAAAATGGTGTAGAGTGGATTGATAGAAGAATACTTTCATTCACAAATAATTGTTCACCAATGTACCAATGAAAACTAAATAGCACCTACACTTCGCTTCAAAATTCTCTTCATATACTTCACGTAGAATCTAGCAAGAAACCAGAGTGCTTGCTAACAGGTGGATATATATATAGATATAGATATATATATACAATCCAACGGTTACACGTTCTGAATGAGATAATCGAAGATCGGAGATGGTCACAAGGTAGAATCACAAATGAAAAAGGCAATCCATAAAGTGTGACATTACAGATGAGATGAGATTAAAGTTTATATAAACATTTTCCCTCGAATACGCTAACTTTAAAAACATACAAAGCTCTCAACTCGTGATTTCAGTTGTCCTGTAGTCTACCAACAGCCAGTTATACATGACCGATAGTTCGAGACTTCACACACTGATAACCATTTTGGTTTGGTTTCGCACAACTCACTAACTGAATTAAAGATTCATCAATATGAAATTTGAAAGCCTTAGGTACTTTTCCTTCTGATGATGATGAACAAATATACGTGGGAGAAAAAATATTTCCGGAAAGCGAAGTAAAGATAGACGTATATTCCTTGTTAAGGGGTGAATGCATCTGTTATATGGTAAACGGTCTTGAAGTCTTCCACCAAAAGTCACTAATTGTTGTTTCTTACAATCTCGAGAACTCCAGACAAACAATTCTGAATTCTGCACACTACCTTTAGGCTTAGCTTCCCATCATTATGTAGGCCACACTCACGAAAAATACGCTTTGCTTCACAGTTCAAACGAATTAACTATGAGTGCACAGCATGGTGCTAGGTCTTAATCTAATTTTGCAACAGTCAAGGACTCCATTTTTAACATATGTTACAGCCACTTAAATTTCACTGGATGGATGGACTGACTGACTGGTTTTAATGTAGAACTTTGCACCAATGTGCAGAAGTTCGAGTCGGCACACTCCATGTAGCATACAAAGCAAGGGAAGAAAGTAAAAAGAAATGCAAAATAGAAACAATAAACAGAGATATGAGGCAAAAAGAATAGTAATATCGAGAAGCAATTTAGTTTTATTGGGTATTATAAGTCACAAGGAGTGGATGCATCTGCATGGCTCGAGCCATATCAACAATTGTCTGCAGTTTTCATTGGTTTTTACCGAGGACTCCAACCAGGAAGCCAGTCTACAGCTTCCTACGTGGCTTAAACCAACTGTCGTGAATTTCATTGACTGATGAGGCCATGTTTTGGTTTGAACACCAGTGGCTCTTTTTCAACCTGACCCTATGTCAGCTAGCATCGAGGAAGGCGATGGTTAGGCATGCGTAACACATTTTCTAACCATCCCAGTCAATGTAACTGCCTCACAACCTGAAGTATTGATTTCCCCTCCCATCTACTTAGCACTCGATGCCTAACCTCAATATTGCTCACCCTATTATACCGCTTCACACAGGAGATAGAGCGCAGAAACCTATGATCAGACAGCTAGCCAGCCTTTTCTCGTCTTCCACTTTCAATGGCCAGGTCTCACAGCCATAAAGGAGGACGGAGAGGACTGCTGAGCAGTACAAACGTCCTTTTGTCGATAGCCGGATATCACGTCTACGCCAGAGACGGCGAAAACTGGCATATGCCAAGCGAGCCTTTTGTATCTGTGCTAAAATCTCGTCAGTGATCAACCCGCTGGCACTGGCTGATGCAAATTCGCAAATAAGTGAAGTGGTCAACACGCTCCATCACTTCACTCCTGCCTATCTTTAAGCTAGGAGTGAGTCGATGTAGTCCAGTCCTGTAGCATCATTTTACATTTGACAGCAAGAGCGAATCGCATGCCAAACATTCGAAGATTGCTGCTCCTCAAGGTGTTCAGAAGACTCTGCATTTTGTCAGCGTCTTCACCTAGAAGGACTATATCATCTGCATATTCGAAGTCAACGAGATTATTCCCTGGTAACAAGTCAATCCCTGAGTCTCTGAAATGAGTTAGGGTTAATTCCATTAGTACATCTATGATAAAATTGAAAAGAAATGGGGATGGTGGGCATTCCCAACCGCCACCACTAGCTATCACCACTTCAGATGACAAATCGCCGTAAGCGTTCACCTGGCTGATTGCATGAGTTAGAGTAGAGTGCCTTGATCAGTTCAATGTATTTTCTCGGCATCCCCTCTACAGCCAAACAACGCCAGAGTACCTCTCGGTCGACAGAATCGAATGCCACCCTTAGGACAAGAAATATAACGATTGTTGGACGCCGGTGAGTATGTCTATGTTCCAGAATCTGTCAAAGGGTGAAGATAACCTAATGGATAGATTATTTCCCTTGAGTGGAGCTATGCGTATAGCCTAACATATAAAACAAAAGCGGGTAGTGCTTTCGTTTCAAAACACAATATTCAGTTATAATGCATTGCTATACAGTACACAAAACTTTAAATCAGTTGTTGAGCAGCCTCGCTGGGTTCATCTACACAGTGGTGTTTTTCGTCATAAACCCTTGAATGGTGTTGTATTTTGTTGTGGTACCACTGTCAAAAGTGATGCAATCAGATGAAGCCGAACGAGTCTTTAGTTTCTTGAGCCATCAAATTACCACGGCTTAAGTGAAACACTTTGTGAACTATAACACTTCGTTTTTAGCAGTCTTTAAGACTCTAAAGCATCAGTTTCCCTGTGAAAGAAAAGAAATACAGCCATCACATCGCTCAGATAACTCCGAACCTTGTCAGTAACTTCCTTCAAGTATATCCCGAGAGATTGTCTATGGGAAGACCGAGATAAAACTAAATATATCAATAATACAATTGAATAGAGATAAAGAAAGCAGAAATCCATGACAGAAACCACTTAATGTAGACATGCCTAAAAATAGTTAGTATAAACTGTAGCAGACACTGTCGTAAACTATCTTCGTTAACGGAGTTAACTGCCACATACATAATTGGTGAAATATAACCAAGATCCATACATAGAAATGAAAGAAATATAGTTTACACATACAATATTGAAAGACAAACCTTTCAGCTCGGCCTACACGACCAATCCTATGAACATAGTTTTGTTTTTCATCCGGTAATGTAACATTTATCACTACATAGGATGAAAGAATAATCATGCATCGAAATAGATTATCATCGAAACACAACAATTAAGATTTGTTGCAAAACACAAGCTCATTACAGTAGAACTGTCTTTTTGTCAAAAAGCAAATTAAAGGACTTGAATGTCTATTAATTAATGTATTCCTTCAGAGATATGTAAAGTACACAGTCAAATGTGTTTTAAAAACGACATTTTATTATGCTTAACTAGAACCCTTAATAAACAAAAATATAATATGAGCGGATTACGCAATATATTAACCTTAAGATTAAGCTGAAAATAACAGCATTGGATGACGCCAAAGACCATCACCAGCTCCTGTTATATATATATATATATATATATGTATATATATATATATATATATATATAGTATCAGTTTACAAAAGACAAGTTAAGACCTAATTTACAAGATTTGTTTGATAAAGTACATGATGATGTATGTGGTATTATTTACTGAATGATATTTCTAGAATAATTCATTGTCCATAATCATATGATTACATCCCCACAGAGAGTCCAGTTACGCCTACGCTAGAAATCGAATTAGGTATCAGACAAAACGTCAAATGATGAAATTCATTTAAATAGAAACTTCAGTTATTTTGCACTATGGTGAAGTGAAAAACGAAACGTGATATTCTGGTTAGGATGTGGCTGAAGCATGAATACATCTCTCTACTGCAACAATCGGTAACCTTTGTCAAGGAGTTATATGTTGTTTATTCTGTCCTAATCGGGTAGCTTACATTATCCTATACACTAAGAAACAGTCGATGATTCCAAGGACTATCTCATGAGTGGTTGAGATCAATGTTACGTTTATTATATTGCAGCCATTTATAACCATAATGGACTAGAATCAACACCACTGGAGTTAGATCCACAGTAAAATATAGAGGATGGTCGCTAAGCTGAAAGGCTGTTTTAGCATGCAATAACGGCGACACATGTTGAAATACATTCAGCGTGTCTTACCTAATTATATGAGTATTAAAAAGCTTCAAAGTATCGAGTATTTCAGTCGGATGAATAGATACTGCATAAAATTAAGGTGCAGCTCACTAGTTTAGGTATCCAGTTAAACACACACAGTCTGAAGTCCATCCCTTATGTTACAAATTACGACTTAAGCAATCGCGTTTCACGAGTCTGCAAAACCTCATATTTCACGAAAAATTACCCTCTAACCAATTCATCACTTCATTGAACCTAGTGACAGCGAGAATCAACGATATGTAGTATTCAAAATTAACATCTGCAATTGAAATTGATTTACAAAGCATCATACGAATACAATCGAAATTAAACCCAACGCCGAAGTTAAGAATATTTATTTTCGTTTATGAATTTAGAAAAGAGGCAACCAAAACAGTGGTTGAATAAAACTTCACTATAGATTCTCTTTAGTTGCATAGATATTAAGTGAATAATCAACACACAGCAGTATGCATATATGCGAATTACGTAACAAATCGCAGGTGTATCTAAAATATTTCTCACCCAATCCTTAAAATCTCCCGCCTCCCGTTTATAAATGCATCTTTCTGTGAACTATGATAAGTGTATAAGATGTTGAATATTTTTTCCCTACATTCTGTATTATGACGACGAAAACTATGATAAAAATCTATCTACACGTTAACATTTATATTCAGATTATTTGTTTTGTTTGTATCCAGTTTAACTGCATCAAATGAAATGAACACGAGATGACATTATCTTGCAAATGCTCTTTTTGTATTATTCCAAGAGAGGCACTAAAAACGCAGTTAAAAATAACTGCACAATTCGATAATTAATCTTGGCGACTACAGATGAAGCCAATATTACACGTAGGCAGCTTGATAAGACAGTTGCTTGCAATTCTACTTAAAAATACAGTGGTACCCAGAAAACACATTTACAAAGAAAGTATGATCTGATTTACACTTCAGTGCATACATTTAATGAAACGTTAAACTTCGTCTACTACCATATCCAAACTCGCTGTACATTAAATATTTATTTAAATAAAAGCAGAAATTTAATATCACTCTATATAACTCCACAAATAACACAATCCGTGAAACGATTACCTAATCAACAATCTCAAGAAAAAATATCTATTCTCTGTTTATGAGTTACAAACATTGGAGTCGATTTGGAAAAGCCCTAGTTTGGGTTTTCGAGGTGTAACTTATCACTTCCAGATAACTAGATGACCACATTAAACAGTCGGGCTATGAACAGAATTGATAAACACTGAGATGTATAGGACATTTGATTTCGAGCCAGTGAATGTATGGCAATATGTTCACTTGGAAATAATGGTTATAGTTTTATTACACGTACGGTTACACGTTTGAACTGCTGAAAAGTTTAGCAGACGATGTTCTAGAAACAGAATGAGATATTTCGAAAGAAATCTTCATCCAAAATGGATATCCACCAGGATTCATCGATTAAAATATCACATCAAGAATTTGGAGGAAGGAAAATTCACTTGCGAAGAAAAAGAAACTCTACATGAACTTGGATTTCAAGGGAGATTTAACAAGAGATATTTCTCAAGAGAAGGATTGCATCATCTCTGAGAAGAACATTCTTTGCACCAAAGCTAAGAATAGAGTTCTCCAGTCGCCAACTGATTCGCAGAAACCTTAAGGACAACATCCCGCATCTAAACACTTCTATGTGCAAATATCAGTTCACCAGCTGCTGTGGAGCCAGGTACATCGGTCGTCCGACGCGCATCTTGCCCAAGAGATTTCAAGAGCACTATCCAGCATGGTTGCGAAAAGGTAATAGTAGTGCTATAAGGAGTGCAATAATTGAACACCTGATTAACAGTGATTATTCCATCTCAACAAACGCCTCCTTCAAAGTAATCTACAGAGTCAAGAATAACCTGTCAAAGGCAATACGGTTTTTTCTTCTTTGTACTCACACTGAAAAACCGAAGCTGTGTACACAAAAGAGAATTACTCAACCACTTCCACTATCATAGTAAAAACTTTGTTGATTTTTGATTATTTAATTTTGTTCGCTCGCTTCTTCCTCTAATTGCTTATAATTCTTGTATTCATTCGGAACTCTTACGTAATTTCATATTCTCTACTTTGCTTATGTGCATACTGAGTACAACTCAATCGTTAAACTAGTCATATTGTTACGTAACTGCATTTTAACAAGTCTTTGTGATAACTCATCACCTTTGTTGCTACTCTAGTTTCATTAACGCCCGATTTTCTTGACCGTTTTTGTATTACGTAACTCCAACCAAAACTCACTAATTCTTACCCACTTTAGTTGAAATAACCCTATCATTGATATAAGAATAAAACTTGTAGACTGTGGTAGAGTGTAATTCATCACTCATACCCGAAATATGGAAAATATTACCACCAATCAAATCGAGTGAAAAACAATGGAACTATACAAATGAATTTAGGAAGTCATGTGATTACCTTGATATGATTATGAGCAATAAATTGTGCTCGAAACGTCATCAGGAAACATTACTGTATAACACTGTGAGACTTTATCAAAATAAAATTTACCCATAATGAAATAACCCTAACCGAATGTATTTTGTTTGACAAAATTAATGTACACATGCATACAAAATAATCTAAAATCTATATATTTGCGACTGTACATCTAAAAAAATGAAATCGCCGAAAAGAGACTCTTCACTGAACTACGTGTTTTGTTCTGACTAATCAGATAGCAGAAAGCCACCAAGTTTATAGAACACATTTGTCGTTCTCATTTGAGTACTGAGTCTCTATTCATAGTATGTTAGCTGGCGAAATTCTGGGTCAAAGGGCTAGTTATGGCTAAATCAAAGGATGTCAGAAATCGATGACATATTTGACTGTTGATTTGATCCAAATGGGGAGATAGAGACTACTTGGCTAGGAGTGATCGAGACTCTAAGAACTAGTGGTTGGCAGGTGAATGCACTATTTGCGATCTCCTAGATGTATTAAACTCTAAATATTCTCCATGTGATAGCTCTTTCACCTGCATATTTCTGTTTACCATAGTCAAGTTATATCATGGACACACAGATCTACGTTTTTGAGTGCAAACAAAAGAGTGATTTATGAAATAATATTTCATATTAGGTCTTAATTACCACTCACTTCATATTAGCTAGTCTTTATTCTGTTATGTAAAATGAGTGTACCGATACCTACGTCACGACTGGAATAAAAAAATTGACTATTCCACCGACTAAGCTATGTAGTTATGGGATATTTAAAATGAAATCGACCTGAAATTTAAGTTATTATTTAGTAAGAATGTTATTAACGAAATTATAGAAATAGACAGTCCAAGTAATTGGCATTATTATCTTGAAAACATAGGCATTTGTATTTATTGTCTACTTACCATACGGCAGACCAGCTATATCGATACCACGTGCAGCAACATCTGTACATATAAGGAAACGAACATCCCCATTCTGGAGAAAAAAGAATGTAAACTTCAGTGACCATATAAAGATCGCCGCATAATAGTGATTTTCTATTTTACACTAATAAATAATCTTACAAGAGTTCTCCCTAACAGAAAAAATTAGCAATAAAAAATACCTTGAATTTTTGTAAGTTTGCTTTGCGTTCAGGTGGACTTCGATCACTGTGGAGGCAGACACAACTGAATTGAGAGTCACGACGGCTAGGGCCTGTTTAGAAGAGTAAGACGACAAAATTTAAAATCACATTAATAAAGAATAGATGTGCTAATAAGAAACAATAAGAGACTTGGCTAACTGGCTTAGCCACTTTACAAATTAAACAGACCACATAATTTTAATTACCTAAAGTAGTATTGACAAAGTTTACAAAATCCAGTAATTTATGTCCAAAACACAGACAAAACTCCCGTTAATTTGAAAAAGAAGATTCGCACGGTATTTATTATACGCTACTTTTTATTATAGTACCTATTCAAATCGGATTCGTCGACGCAAATCTTATTGCGTCCCTAAAAATATGAATGAGGATAAGTTTTCAGTGTTGTATGAAATCCACTCATATTTTTCCCTTCATTGCTTATCATTAGTTTATCAAACAGAGCATTGAAGTAAGAATACAACTTGGGCACTGTGATGAAGTATAATCCACCGGAGTAAATTTATGTGGTAAAATCACTCAGTGATACAGTATTATTTACTCATGACGTTTCGAACATTACGAGCCTTGGTATGATTATGAGCGATGAATTGTGCTCGAAACATAATCAGTAAATAATACTGTATAATACTGTGGTTTTATCACATAAATTTACTCCATCATGGAAGTGCAATGAAGTCACTCCAAAGGCATTAATAATTACTATCGCAATTTAAAGACCATTATCACAACGATATCAAAAAGCATTAAACTGCTGAAAAATCCTTGTCAATTTTTAAAAATAATTTCGGTACTTTTCCTTTTTTTTATGATGCTTTTCACCTTAACCCGGATACAATCAATCAAACTACAGATTTGTAATACTCTTCCTTCAAATAGTATATTTAAGCTTCAGTTACATATTTTGATGATAATAAAAAAAAGCTCAGGTGTTATCCATTAACTGACATATGAGAAGTGCATCGGTGGCACAGTGGTTAGGACTCTCGCCGACCATGCACATGGTCCGGGGTTCGAACCCCTGCCGGCGCACACCCGATATCTATGGTATGCCTGAATTTGGGCAACCGATATCCATGCTGAAAGTTCCACACTTGTACTGAAAATACGGTGTGGAAATCAAGCTGTAAATCAAAAAAAAAAAAAAAAAAAGTAACTGATCGTCTGGATTATAAAACCACAATTAGGCATTCCACTTTTACCTCAATTATCATTATATCTTCTAATGGTCCTAAGTTATTGTATTCAATACATCCCAGATGCAGGTGACAAGCACTTCTGCTTAAACTGTTCTCTCTAAGTTGTGTATCAATATTTTTCACTGGAAATCTGAACAACAGTCAGGTGTGATGGCAAACTAGCTAAAATATGACCACAGTAAGTAAAATAGCATGTTAAACTATATTGTTAATCTCAAAAGTGTTGCCTACACACACATACATTTGATGCCTAATATAGATGTGCCATAAGTGAAAGTGGTATGCCTTGTATACATGCTTTCTAACGAAGATTGACAGATAAAAGCATCGGTACTTACCACCACCCATGGAGATGAAATACTGTTCCAGATTGTCACAGTCTAGTTTAGTGCGACAAAAGATTAAGGCACGGTCCATATTTTGCTGCTTGATGGCACGAATAACATATTCACCCTTCAATAGTTTTACAGCTTCTGAAAAAACTTCTGTTGAAGAAACAAACCGTAGAGATTAAACGCGATGCACAATAAGTGTAAACGTTAAGGTGTTTTTAAAGATAACAGAAATAAGAATTCTCTAGGAATGGAACAATACAGCATTACTACCTTAAAAAGTTTTCAACTATACGCTTTAATTCACTATAGCAAAACTGATTGATTCCACGAAATGTCATCAACTAAATAACAGTTGTAACTAAGAAATGTTGCAAAGTAGTTTGCTTTTCTGGTGGATGTTTTAGGCCAACGAACAACCACAAATATACGGTATTGAGGTAGGCGAATTAGGTCTGCAGCATAAGTTGGTATTAAGTGCTCTGGGATTTTTCAACTGCTCTTAAGTGACACCACATATATACGCTTTTAAAATAGCTGAAGTCAATTTTAACAGTTACTTAGACGATCAGGGCCAGCATAAAATACAACTGACATGATTGTAAACAATAAGTTGAGTTAGAAATGTCAGCTAGTAAATAATACACATTATTTACTACCATAGTGCCTGGGTTTTACACATATACCAGTATGGAATAATTACTTCATTCTTATACAATATTTACCTGGTGAATTCAAATTGGGACTTAGTTGATCTTTCATGTGAACACCATCAGTTTGAATATGCTTATTAGTTTTCATTAATTCTTTCCATAATGGGTCAGTGTTAGGATCAACAAGGCATACCTAAATAATGAAGAAATTTTATCATCGAGAACATAATGTGAATTTTACTGATTTGTACAGGATGATATCGAAAACAAGTCATCAGTAAATCTTAAACAAAAAGCATAGCTATTTACTGCACAATCTAAAAATTTCCATTTCTGATATAAAAAAGCGTCTACTAAAAAGCTTCTGAGTTTATAAGAGTATCAAAACAAAATATTTGATCAACTTTAAAACATTATTAATTGCATCAATATGACGATTAACTGTTAACAAGCTTAGATGTATGAAGACTGAACGAAAAAGTATAGGATACTAACAGTCGACCAAGAGGGAGAAATGCTATAAGAGTAGTATATGGGTGGAGTGGTAAAGTAGAAATCCATGATTTCTGGCTGGCCATTTGATTTTCAGTACGGAGCGACAGAAGAAAGCTCTTTATAAAAGTCTGAAGCCTGTTCGAAATGCTTTTGGTGACACACCAAGTCTCTGATGAATATAAAAGCACTGACTAACTTGATATTAGTGTTGCAAATCCTAAACTTGTTCTTATCGCTTATTTCACCATATTTCAACACTGATTTCAGAGTAATGTCTGTCTTAATTTTTCGACCCTGGCTTCGACATTCTCCTCCGTGCCGCCTGTAGCTGAAACGATGATGCTGCCTAGATAGGTTAAACTGGTGACTTCCTTGAAATTTCTCCCTCTGATAGTGGTTGGTGCTTGTTAATATCTTTATCACCTGTCTTCTTTGTTTGTTCAGGGGGAAATGACTAATGTTCTAGATTCAATAATCATGAGCAGACTAAGTGATGTTAAGGAGAAGCAAAGTCAAGAACACGAGACAGGCTTTAGGCCAGAAAGAGAGTGAACTGATCAGTCGATAAGGTTGTGAAGGTAAATTAGGATACGTGTTATATGCATGCAGAGCCACAACCTTTTTCATCGAGGACTGTTAAGAGGAACAGGAGATTAGGTTGGGAAAGAATTAGATGTGGTTGAACAAAAACCTGGCATCAGCTCTTAAAACTTTTGACAGTTGGTTTGAGCCACGTAGAGAGATGTAGGCTGTCTGATCGGAAGCTTCGCGACACCGAGAACGAACGGGTGAAGACTACTGGCAATATGGCTTAAAGTCGTTCTAAATGACGCTAATGCATTAGCCCTTTGTGATTTCCCATATCCACTAAACTATGATGTTCTTCAAGTGTTACTATTCTTACATTTCTGTTCATTACGCTTCTTTTGAAATTTCGACTATAATCTATTAAAAAATCTATTTGCAAATAACTTTTGGAATTCTGATGTCAGTGATTCCATGTAATTCTTTGAAATTCAGTAATGTTGTCAATAACAATCATTCCTTCATTATTACGGATACATAACTGTAGAACCTGATGATAAAGTTATCGAAAAGAATATTCTTTGTTCAATAATCAATCTCTTTTTTTCCTATCGTTTTGTGCTACATGGAGTGTGGCAACTGGAACTGCTGTACTTCTGTGCTTATTTTTATTAGGAACATTTGCGTGCTTATCGCTGCTGTTGAAACTCAGTCAGTAAGAAATCCATAACAGAATTATTTTATTATTTGATAGAACACCTGGTGAATAAATAACACTGTATCACTGTGTTTTATCAAATAAATTTATTCCACTAAGAATGAAATGCTAATTAGAGAAAACTTTACCACGAGATATGTAAACAATAAACAAGGAATTCAGCTAAGAGGACGAGAAAAATGAAAGAGATTAGTGGGAAATCAAAAAGTTTTCCAATCAAATGAGTATTGTCCTTCCGCTCTTTTATTTGACATTCCAACTCGATTTCTCTCATTGGTATAAGTTGGCTCTTTAAATGAAAGTAAACATGTGATATTATTATACTGATTTAATAATAATAATTATTATTATTATTATTATTTGAGATACAACCTAACGCAAATATAAACAGCAAAAGACGCATCACAAAAAAGAAGCAGTGAAAAAAACACAACAGAAATAGACACATTGAGAGACAGCATCATGAGAACAAGTAGGCATATTTATTAAGAACATTCAAAAAGGAACGTTCATTATTTTCTATTACTTTTTCACCCATATTCGATCATGTTTCAAGCGAACAACTTCATTTCTGTTATCCTTTTTATGTTGGGTGATTCTGAAATATTAGTAACTTCTACTGCTGTATAAGGAGTCCATGCAATCTCTTTGTTAGTATGAGTGTCGTTTCTAGGTCCCAGTATTTTATTTGCTTAACTTGGTGAATTTTTTTCCATACATGAATTTGAACAAAGCAAGAACTACAGTTTTAGCAGAATAAAATGGTACCAGCTATTATTTCGTTGCCTTCTCGTCAGCTGCTTACAGGGCAAAAATGAAGGTTCATGCAAAAAGTGGTGGGTCATCTCTTATTTAATGAACACACGAATTTGGTTGCCTAATTGTACTTTTCTAATTGATAATGTAACATGATCAACTAGGGTGAAACAATTTCGTGTAAACAACTTAAGAAAATGAGAGAAGAAAGAAAGAAAAAGTCTACGACACGCCTTAATGAGAATGTTGATTGGTTAGAACAGAAATAATTCACTTTAAACAATTATTTGTTTAAAACGAGCTGTACATATTCGGATTATATGCTAATTTGTAAGTGTCATTATCATCAAAGAAAAGAAGACAGTTGAATATCATTGCTACATTTTAGGTTGTCTATTATATGTAATAAAGACTTACCACGTGATGTACTGTTTCTGGAACACTGTCCTGACCTTTTAAGTCTATCCATACCGGGAAGTGCATCAACTTATTCTAGAATTCAAGTAGAGAAATTAGGAAAATAGTTGAGAATGAGAAAATCCTGCGAAATATAAGCTAACCTCTGAAATCAAAGGTTTGAGAGTTGGAAAAGTTATGAGAAGGTTAAATATTTAAAAAAATGTTTAAAAAACCACTAACTGAAGTTACCTCTGTTGTGTACCTTACTTTCAAAGCCTAAGTTGATGAGATGTTACAAATTCCTCAGAAAAAAATTTACGACAGTGCATGTCGTTATTTTCGATCTCTGAAAATAAGAACCAAGTTCAATGGTTTTGTCAGGTGAAGCGGAAATTCGGAATATGAACCACTCAACTACTAATTTTCTATTTATTAGCATGCACATAATGTCACCCGACAGTTTAATACGTACAATACTCAACTATGATGAAGCACTACTGTATAAGAGTTTCCAAAGAATATGTAACTTTACAAAAAAATTACCTGGATTGAACTACTCATTAGTAGCTAAAAACTAATTTTGAAAATAACTTCGTGACATTTGCCGGAAATATTTGTTTGTATATGTGTATACCCAAGTTGGCCCAAGTCAGTGAGTCTGTGGTTTTGATATCATTTTTGTTAACTGTATTTCACAGTGATACTACTGCTAAGGATTTTGTTGTTGTTGTTGTCGTTGCCCTTCCTGTTGTGAATTTTTCTTTTGCTGATGTTGTGATTGCTTTATTCTTTGTTTTCCTGATTCTTCGGGGAGCAACCCAAAAAGTCGCTCCTCTGTAAACTACATATTCATGTAACAGCCCTCTTCCCAGGCATGCGACTAGCAACCCTATCCTGTAAACAAAGCTGCTACAGAAACTTCAGCACGATAAATCTCCTTGCGACAAAAGAAAAAGTCTCTGTGGGGACATGGAACGTCCGCACCATGTGTGAGACTGGCAAAGCTGCTCAGATTGCGAGTGAGATGAAGAGATATGTTATTGAAGTACCGGGAATATGTGAAAGCAGGTGGAATGAGAGTGGACTCATTAAATTTTCAACAGGAGAGTCAGTGATCTACTCCGGTCACACAGAAGACAACCACGAGCACACCGAGGGTATGGCTATCATGATGTTACCAACGGGCAACGAAGGCCCTGATACAATGGGAGGCGATCTCGCCCAGGATAATGACCACCAGATTCAACTCAAAGGGAAGGAAGTTGAAAATTATGCAATGCTGTACACTCACAAACAATGGAGACCCGAAAAGAAAGAAGAGTTCTACAGACAGGCAACAGTGGACAATACTCTCAGTCGGTGACATTAAAATCCTAATGGGAGACATGAACGCCAAACTGGGACCAGACAACACAGAAAGAGAACTTATTATGGGTAGAGAAGCTCTCAGAGAGATGAATGAAAGTGGAAAACTCTTTGCTGACTTCTGTGCCTTCAATGAACTAGTGATTGGTGGCAGCGTATACAAGCATAAGGATATCCACAAGGCTACATGAGTGTCACCAGACGGGCGAACCGAAAACCATATTGACTCCATCTCAATGCTGCTCAAGGAAGTGGCGACGTCGCTTACCAGAACACAAAAGTAAGAAGAGAAGAAGACGTTGGCTCAGACCATTATCTCGTACAAGGAACACTCCAAATCAAATTAAAAACTTTGAAAGAAACAGGAGCCGCAGATAGACCAAAAGCCAAGTTAAATACTGAAAAACTGAAGGATCAGGCCACAAAGGAAATTTCCACTGCAATCATAAGGAAAAAGGTGGCGACACAAATCAACACTAGCGAAGAGACCAGCGTTGAAAAGCATTGGAACAGCGGTGCGGAGTCAAACCTGCATGAAAGTTCTAGGCAGAAGGAAGAGACAGGACAAACAATGGCTTACTACAGGCACATGGAGACTGGTAGAAGAGAGGATGGTGAAACAAAAGATTATCCAGTGCATCGACGAGCAACAAAAAAGGAGCTGAATGCAAGCTGCAATACACTGAACAAAAGAATAAAGAAAAGTGTCAGGGAAGACAAAAGAAAATATTATGAAGCCATGTCAAATGAAGCAGAACAAACTGCAGGCAAAGGAGACCTCGTAGCACTCTATCAAACAACTAGGTACCTATCGGGGAAAAGTTCAACACAAATAAGGCCAGTGAAAGATGACAATGGAAAGTCAATCACCAAAGAAGTGGAGAAAAGGAAACACTGGTTTGAGCACTTCAAAAGACTTCTAAATCGACCACCACCTACAACGCGCCCAACAATACAAACAACGGAGACAGAGCTACCAGTGAACACCATACCCCCGACGAAATCAGAAGTCCTGAAGGCAATCAAGATGCTAAAAGCTGGAAAAGCAGCAGGACCAGACGGAATCCCAGCAGAAGCATTTAAAATGGACCCAGAGACATCAGTAGACTTGATGACACAACTACTGGAGAAGGTGTGGAAAGAGGGCAAGGTACCTGCGGATTGGAAGAAGGGCTACCAATTGGAACTGTCAAAGAAAAGAGACTTAAGTCAATGCAAGAACTAGCGCGGAATTATGCTCCTGTCTATCCCAAGCAAAATACTAAGCCGCATCATCCTGGAGGGGATCAAACACGTCCTGGATGAATAACTTCGACCGGAACAGGCTGGATTCAGGAGAAACAAATCATGTATCATCATTGAACAGAGCTTGGAATGGCAGTCACCTCTTTATCTCAACTTCATCGACTTCAAAATGGTCTTCGACAGTGTCGATCGAGAGGTGATTTGGAAACCAACAGTTATGCATCTCATCCAACAGTTGTACGACAATGCTGTGTGCCAAGTAATCCACAACGCGAAACTCATGGAATCCTTCGAAGTGGAAACGGGAGTAAAACAAGGCTGGATGTCTACTATCTTCAGTGATTTTCCTGATTGTGGCAGACGGGATAATGCTACAAACAGTGGGCAATGAGGAAACAGGCATAAAATGGACCCACAAAAAAACGTTGGAGGATCTGGATTTCGACGATGCTATATGTCCGATTTCCAACAAAATGGAAGATAGGAAAGTGAAAAGCAACAAGTTGGCAGTAGAAACATCAAAGATGGGACTTCAGGTGAATATACAGAAAACAGGTGATGAAGATTCCTGGCCAACAGCAACGAAAACAACAGATAACAATTAGGATAAATGGGAGGAGTCTGAAAGAAGCAACCTCACTTACCTACCAACCTGGGAAGCATCGTTTCAACTACAGGCGGAACTGACGAGGATATCAAAGCGAGGATCGGTAAAGCAAGGAGAGCTTTCATTACTCTCAAGTCTGTGTGGAGGTTAACAGCACTCAGCCTGAATAATAAGACCCGGATTTTAAACTCCAATGTGAAGTCAGTGCTACTATACGGATCAGAGACTTGGTGCGACGTCACGAAGGGCACTTCGAACAAACTACAGACCTTCATCAACAGCTGTCATCGCTCAATACTTCGCTCGAGATCAGATGGCCAGAAAAGATCAGCAACAGGGATCTCTGAGAGTGAACCAACCAAGAACCGACTGTGCAACAAATCTGCAGGAAGAAATGGAGGTGGATTGGACATACTCTGAGAAAACCATCAAGTGACATCACGCACCAGGCCATTGTTCGAGTGGAACCCGAATGGGAAGCGACGGGATGGTCGTCAGTGGCAGGGTGAGTAACATGGAGGAGGAGGTCATGTGAAGAGATGAAAGCATGTGGGCAGACGCCAAGCCAAGTGAAAATGTTGGCAGAGAACCAAACGCAATGGAGACGTGCGACTGAAGCCCTATGTTCCTCTAGGAATTAAAGGAAATAATAATAGTAATTATTGTTTTTATTAAGCTTACATTTCAAAGCATTGCTTGAATGGGACAGGAGAAACTTCGCAAAATAAAATGATAATAATATCCATAAATCCAAACAAAAGCTTACAGCTAATCGTTTAACATCCATAGAGTGGAGAGTGGCAGAGCACACAATCATCTGTAAACGGTTTCCGTCCGCTGTAGCCTTAGGTATTTGATTGTGAATTCGAGTGATCATATCACCGTAACCAGCTGATAAAAGACCATCACATTCATCTAAGACGAAAAATCGACAGCTACTCAAGAGAAGGGATTGTGTTGAGATAAGATCATCCAGACGTCCAGGAGTAGCAACAACAATATCAACCTGAAATAGAGAAAGATAATAAGAGAGCTATCTAGTAATGAGGCACATATATAAATGCACTATCCACAAATTATAGACATTTTTATGCTTAGTCAACTATAAAGAATATCTTATTTTAGTGAACATGTAGAAGTTAACCATTAATAGACTTCATTAAATAATAGCAGTAAGAACTCACTCCAGCATGCAATTCATCCATTTGTTGTTTAGTATTAGCGCCACCAATTAACAAGCATTCACGTGGACTTGGATCTTTTAAATAACGTTTAAACTTTCTAATTTGTTCGAAAGTCTGCTCTGCTAATTCACGGGAAGGCTATATGAAAAAGTACAGGCAAATTAATATGAAAAAAGTTAACCAACAAGCACAAGATATAATTTGGGTTGTATATGTATGGCACATAAAAGATAAGAACAAAACTTAGGGTTGTGGACATTGTGTTTTATTGTGGTTCTGACAAACTACATGCGGTTGTTTTCAAAAGTGTGAAACGTTTTGACAGGTAAATAATTAGCTTGTGTTTTGATAAAAATTATGAGTCTGAAATGAAATGAAAAATACGGGCCCCTCACTTGATGGACCAATCCATGAAATCTTTGGTGGTTATTGCTACATAGGAGGGTTTTTTTCACCGGCTAGGGTTTAAGAGATGCGTCAAAATAGTTCTCACTAATGCAGGATGAATTACCATCTGACCAAATGGATTCTTAACACTTTCACTCATTTTTGATTATTAACAATCATGTCTACTTATTTGCTCCATTTTTTGTTTGTTATTACAAGGTGTGGCAAACTGCATAGATGCACTACTGTGGATTCCAAGTCAGACAACTGGACTGAACACGTTGGACCTTATTTTGTTCGTGACTGAACGCATCACGTCTTTATTTTTGCGAAATTTTAGAATACTGTAAAGCACATTATGATTTCCTGATCATGGTTTAGGACATCTGCATGGTTGACACTCAGAAATTAACTTACTTAACGAGTCATATCACCAAAATTATAATTAAGTTGGTAGAACGTGAGGGGTAACTAGATCATAACATGACATAACAACATGAAGACCCTCTCTAGGCCTTAGATTGCTCGAAACAAAGCCCTCTTAATTGTTCCCAAAATTTCGAATATTTTATTGGTTGATAGAATTTAGAAACTGTGGACGATTATATTCCAACTCGGTGAGTGGATCGAAGTACTAAATCTAAAAACAAGTAGCTACTGCGATTGGGTTAATGTTACCACCTGGATTCTAGAAATTGAGAAAATTAAGTGGCATTCCAACTTAACACTCACTGTCGCGAAGTTAAGTATCTTCATCAATGAGCCAGAGCTCCATTTGAATGACTAACCTAGGATCCTAATTAAAAATACTTACTACTGATTTCTGACAATAGCTACTCAAGCAGACTAATGAAAATTCTTGTCGTGGTGGCCGATCTTTAGCATTTTAAAAGTGAAAATGTTATTGAAAGGTCCCAAAATTCACTAGCGCAACATAACCAGAACTAAAACAACAGACAGTAACTAGAAAACTGATGCCTAGATAGTCGTCCATCTTTTCTTATAAAAGGAGACCTAGGCTGCGAGAAATGAACAAGTTTAATTGCGAAATTCTAGTAAAGACGTATGAAGCAAATAGGAATACGTCTTTGTAGGCTTCTGACTGACAACCACAGCAGCATTGTTGGAAATCACGAAGTCCGAGGGCATATGGAAGTTTTAAAACGACGTGGAAATCTCGTTTGATAGTAAGTTTAGACAAATTTCTCGAAAATAATGACATTTTCGAATATGTACCACTTCTTCACAAGTCGTGTCTCCTTAATATTAAATTGCTAGAGGTAAAAAACTTTTTGACAAATGAAAACATAGCTCTCCTTCAAAATAAAGTAATTTTTATCCACCACTAAAAGGTTTTCCAGTTATCGGGAACACAAATTTATGATAAAGTTACTTACCTCGATAATTAGAGCGAGTGGGGCATTTGGTTTGGGCTTGCTGGTTGCAGCAGATACTGTAGCTAAAAATGAAAAACACTTCAGTTCTAATAGGTAGTTTTACCTGCACTATGGGAACAAATTGAAAGGTATAAGATGCTAAAATCAATAACAGCCAAAATATCTTTAAGATTACAACAAGTAATAAAGACAAAACTATTGATAACCGAATTTGAGGTTTATTAGGATCTGTCAACTGTTTTTCTAAAAAATTGATGTGAAACTTTTCAAAGTAGTGCATTAGCCAAAATAAACACACTTAAGAAAGGTGTACAAAGAAAGGAAACAGAGACTTAATCATACTACAATAGATGAAAATATGTCACAAACTGAATTAACACATAGATTACTGAAACCTTTTAGATGGGTTCAGTGCACCTGGACTTTTTTTAGACAATTACGAAACATGATGTCAGGGTCTCAGATCACTGCTTTTTCGCGTCTTGAGAAACCTTGCCAAACACAGCGTTTCGCTAAGTGGCTCGGACCAATTGATGCCATATTTTGGTCTAGCCACCACTAGGTACTTTACAACCTAATTCCACTTCAGCTAGCACGAGCCGTTGACGGTAGTCGTCTTTAGACACAAGCATCATATGTCCTAGACAACTGAGACGATGTTGTATCATAACTTCGATCACCGACTTACCTTCTGTACCAATCACATTAAGCCTATCTTCACTATTGCTTACAAACGTCCTCACCTAACACCAGGCAGGGAACGTCAAAACCTATAGTCAAAATCCTGTAATTCTTTCATATCTTTTATATCTCAGTCAAGGGACAGAAAGAACTACGACACAATACACAAGCTCTTATGGGTCGACAGATATCGCATCAACCCAAAAGATGACGCACGCTGATGAATACCAAAAAGCCCTTCGGGGTCCACTGAGGTCCATAAGGCATGAGATGCAAACCCCTAAATAAGTAAAGTTGTCAACATACTGAGCAACTTTACTCCATATCTTAAAATTAGGAGACCTCATAAACTAGTGAATACCACTGTAACGACAGAAGACAAGGGCCAGGCAACACATCGTTTATTGAGAAAATAAAGGGATATCTATAGATTTCTATGTACATTATTATTGGTGTTATTGTTAGCACAGAAGCAACGTCTTCTGATTGGTTGTTTTCTTGCTGAAGGCTATTTTGTACTGCTTGTGACCATTTCTTAGAAAGTCATGTATCTGCGAATCGTATTTGCACACATTAAGTCTGCTGTGACTGGTTGGTGAGCTCCTTAAGGTTAAGCTTTGTTATTGTTTTTCTCATGACCCCGATTCGGGACGTAAGTATTGACGTGAACTGTTGTCTACAATTTTGGCTTGCAGACAGCTCTCACCACACTACCATAGCATAAACATCTGATCGAGAGTGATTGTGAAACACAGTGCCTTCTTGTTTCTTCTACTTCTGAAAGCAGTAGGAAGAGATAAAGGCTCTTTTAAATGTACTTTTTTTGTGAATGACAGACAGCAGCTGACTATGTGTGATTTAGAATTTTTTAAAATTAAACTGCCCAGTTAAAAATGCCGGTGTTGGATTCAATGAAAGCTGTTGTGAACATTTTACATTTTATATCCGTGGATATTTTGAACATTCGTTACAAAATTATTTCATTGTTTGTTTATTTACCTAAACATAAATTATGCTCAGTATGAGACACCAAAAAAGGCAACACACAGAATAACTCAACGATGATTTTAGGAAACTAAAAATTAGACAGTTAAGGAGAGTTAAGGAGGAGTTTCCTAAAATCATCGTTGAGTTATTCTGTGTGGTGCCTTTTTTGGTGTTTCATACTGAGCACAATTTATGTTTAGGTAAATAAACAAACAATGAAATAATTTTGTAACGAATGTTCAAAATATCCACGGATATAAAATGTAAAATGTTCACAACAGCTTTCATTGAATCCAACACCGGCATTTTTAACTGGGCAGTTTAATTTTAAAAAATTCTAAATCACACATAGCCAGCTGCTGTCTGCCATTCACAAAAAAGGTTTTGAAATGAAATACTTAGGATATTTTACGCTATGAAATGTTTGCTATATGTCCACTCCTACCACAATATTGCAGTATAGTTAGTAAATAATTACGGATATAGAAATACTTACCCTTGAATGTTGTTTCAACTCTGTTTGCCTCTGAGCACAAGCTGACTGCTGTCCAACCATTTGGAGGCGGGAAATCGAATTTGCTGTCGCCAAAATTAAATTTTAACTCTGCATTTTTCATACACACTGATGGAAATAATCCTTTGGAACGTAAAGCAGCTGGGATGTCGTAAGCTTTCCCAAATATTTTACCTGAAAATACGGCGGTAGTCATTTGTATTAGACATTAAGTACATAAATTAATAGAGAAATTGTGACTGAAAGTGAATTATAGAGAAGTATTATTTATTCCCTTTAGATCTATTTTTCACTTCATTTCAGTGTAAATGCACAAATTATTGGGGTATATTTTACGAATCAGCCACTGCCTCAAGTTAAAACTGAGTTTTGATTATTAAGCTTAACTAAGGAACGATTAAGCATAAATTACTATTAGTCTGACATCATTTAATAAAAAAATACGGTGTTATGTCATGAGGGAGGTGGCTCAGGAAAGGTTAGTCGAAAAAATGTACATCTCGACATATCTTATGGTGATCTGTAGATAACGGTATAGTCTTGTCTATAGAGAAACTCCACAAACATAGTTTCTGAACAGGCTGGATCTGATCAGTTTCAGGTAGTCGTTCTTGAGTAGTAGGCGGCATGCTTGAAATTTGGACTACTCGAACCTCTGTCATTATATATTGTATATAATTTCTCTTGTTCAGTTTCCTTTAATTTACTAAAATATGATAGCTAATGGTATTAATTTACTCTCGGGAGTATTTAAAATGTTTGCAACCTGCTGATTTGCAAGTTCCTACTAAACTTGAGAAAAAGCATAACCATGGGTGGAAACCCGGTACATCAGGTAACTTTTCCTGAGTTATGCTCTTGGGTCTAACAACTGCGTTTCTTGGAGAAAAAGAAGAAATATCATAATGGATTGTTCAGGTCAAACAGCATTATACCACACGATCTACCGTCGATTAATATTTTATTTGAAGATCTAGCACACGGTCCGGGGTTCGATCCACGGCCGGCGCACACCTTTACCTCGCTAAGCCAGAAATAATGCTGGTGAAGAGGAAAGGTTGGGCATGAGGCTAGCAACCCCATCCTGTAAAATAAGCATTGCTACAGAAACTTCAAGCCACTAGCTTGAAGCCCTATGTTCCACTGGGGAACGTGAAGGAAAAAGGAGGAGCATGAAGAGAAAATACCATACAATAAACTCTGCTGGAAAATTTTGTACATTATATAAAAACTGTACAAAAATAAAGCTATTATTATTCTATTTTTGAGGCCTCCAGATTACTGAAATCTAAATCTTTTTCTCCTTTAGTCGCTCCAAGAAGTCAACTTACTGGTTGTGGGCAACAGAGGAATCTTAACTGTTGAAACGCTTCCATACGTAAACAAAGCTCTTCCTTTTATATTTCTCTAAGCTGAATTGCCCGGAACAGATTATTTATGCATCAGACTGAGCCACACCTATTGTGTGAATGCTCATGATACTACCCAGCAACCCATACTAAAGTAGGTGAATCGGAACTCGGACCCACAGAGTGCTTAAGCCAATGAGCTACATCTGCTTATTACGTACTCCCTCCCATTCATCTTTTCACTTCCCCGAAACTTTACTAATTCCCGCTGCTAATACCATTTCTTGTATAGTGTCCTCTTCTTTTACGTCTGCAGTCATCATCTTTATATCGCCTTTGTTTGTCTATAGTAGGATCATTGCGATTTTGTCATCTTTCAAGTGTGTTTTAACTATATGAATCGATGCTCCTCCTCGCAAAGTGTTACGTTAATTTATAAGTCAAAGTAAATATGAAGTTAATCTCCAGGATACGGTAATATATTAGATGAGCATCAATTAAGCCTGGGGAAAAATTAGTATAAAGGGTGATGCAAAACAACTAACCATTTTTCGACCAACTGACAGAACCATTGTCAAGGTCTAAAAAGCATCCAAGAGTATCTCCTTTCCCAAAGGGTTCACCATATGAATCAAACTGTCTACGATGAGACATTTTGCCAGTTCCACCGAAGCCAAAACTTTCAGCGTCCGTCCCAACGTCATGTGATGCATTCAACGTTGACCAACCGACCCGACAAAGGCCCTCGTCCGTAACATGGGCCTCATAATAATAACGACCTATTTTTGTCCAATAAAATAGTCATCAATCATGTGTAGAAGCAAAGGAATACTTTTATGCACTAAATCTATGTTAAGAGGTAAGGATGCGAAATACATAATGAATCCCAGGTTATTCGGATATTTAGTCATTCAAATTATTCCCAAATACAAATCCACTGTAAGTGGTGCTGCTACAATAAAACAGGCTATTTTTTCTAAGGAATACAGATGCGATTTGATAGGATGAGTTTTCTAATTCTAAAAAATTGCCCAACTAAAGAAATAGAATCAAGAATAGACAATAAGGCAGCTTTGTAATCACAATGCCACACAAAGTTTATTATGAGCAATAATTTGTGATCGAAACGCCATCAGTTAATATTACTGTACAACACTGTGATTTATCAAAATAAAATCTTATCCATAATGCAGAACATAAATAAATTAGGGGAAATACAAGCACATGGTAAGTAGCTGTATATCACCAATATCCACTGACGTATTATAGGCGAAAGGGCGGAATCCTGAATATCATGCAATTTAGGACAACAAGTCGTTAGAGCACACCAGAGATTGGATTCAGTGACCACTCATGAAGCTTCATTTTATCTTCTTCAAATAAAACCAAAGATAAAGGAAATCGTGCTTGAATTACTATTTTACACTTTATAATTCCAAATTTCTATTATCATTTCGCTGGGAAAATAAGCCACTATTTGACCTTCAATTACCTAAGTTATACTGTTATTCGAAAACAAAATAATTGTTTAACTGAACAAGAATATTACGTGTGAATATACCCTAGAAGCCAGTTTGATTTCAAATACTGTCTAAGACTTTCATGACTTATGGTTTACGCAAACAGAAGAGCAAACAATTGAACACCATGTAAATTTATGCGAATAGTTCCTTAGAACTGTTTTTCCGTCCATTTTGTCATTAGGGTTTTACGAAGTTATGAAAACGCGTTCTTTGCTTACGAAATAAACTAATGTAAATTAAGGAGAAATTATGGTTACGAAATATATCCGTTTACAAATTTCACGGATATTGTAATAAAACCCTGAAAAATACCTGAGTTTTTTACTCCACGGTTCGCTCTAGCTCCATGCCATCCACCTGGATCACGACTTTGACATAGCAGACCGTTACTATCTATAGCCATAGCCTCAGTACGATCATAAACATTCAGCTTCATTTGTCCACTTAAATTTTTTGGTAATATATTAGTTTTGCTCTATGAAGAAATACTAAATTACACTTTCTCTTACTTGTTTATTAGATTGTAAAAGCTTCAGAGTTTCGTAAACAATTTGAAGTACAGGTAGACAAAATGCTCCTGTTTTTCCACTTCCTGTTTCAGCAGCCATTAAAACATCGCCTCCTCCGAGGATCAACGGGACAGCTTCGCTTTGTATATCTGTGGGTAAAATCCAGTCCATTTCTTGTACCGCCTTAGATAGTTCGGGTAATACACCCATTTCTGGAAAGTAAACACAAGATATGAAATACGTTCACGAACAATTATGAATCGAGCAAATGACGGATATGAGTCAACAACACCTAAATATTGGGGAGAATAGCTCAAGTCTGTGAATTATTATCACTTAAACACGAAATTCGTACAGTATGGGCACTAACAAATGTAGCACACAAAATAATACATCTGTTCACACAGAAAGCTCTTGTCATGAGCAAGTAAAACCATTATTTTTGTATACAGATGCAGTTTCTAACTCTTTTTACTGCCGTAGTCTTAAAGCTTCTTTTTTTAACTTGTACAAACATTTAACCCGTATTGTATATTCAGTCTTCAGCCATGCAGTAACAGCAGAAACAAGAAGTCTGGAACGAATAAGCATCACGGTCATTCGAATCTCCCAAAGCCGTATTTAGGAACAAAGGTGCAGGGTGGTTACATTCTATAGGGTCCTCAAAATACTGACAAATCTCTAAGGAACATCCCTTCCTAAAATATAACTCCAAAGAGAATTCCTGCTCAATGAGTTCATAAGGTTAAAAAACACCGTGGTTCTACTTGCTGCTGGAGGTCTTCTATCAACTGAGCAGTGGTAAGCAGGTAATTAACCCCAAGTAGTGAGACTCATTTGAGTGCGGACGCTGTGTGTAACAAACTAAAACACAATAGTTTTATTCTGTTACATTGGAAAGTAAGTTTATGAAGATAACTACCTAGTAACTTACAAAAAGTACAGACAGACTAGGAACGACTGCATGGAATAAACACGCACAAAAAATAAAATAATGTAGTCCACACGGGATCAAAAAGTAGCGAAAATTACATAGTTACAACGATTTCAACTTTCCACGGTTATAGCACTTAACTGACATCGAAACTGATTACTATACACCGCTTGCAAGAGGACTAGGTTACCAGACTCTCTTAACTGGGTGGTTACGTTGAACCTTTGAGCCCGTTTGTTGTGCGAAGCAGCAAACTAAAATAAAAGTTGCATTTCATTTGCTGTTATTGAGTGAAATACGATCATATACGGTTCTTTACAATTAGACACCGAAGTATTTGTACACTATAGGTAAGCGATTAGGATTTTAATCATTCTTTATCCCACAAATTTTTGTCATTACTCTCCGAAGATATCAGCATTACTTATTATTCACTTGTCCATCAGATTCCTCGCATTCTTCATTTTTATGGTAAAAACATTCAGTGTGGACCGTCCTCAATCAAATAATGCCGTACTAGAATGGCAGATCTTTCCTTCATTTATTGGTAGTACCTAAATACTCAAGAGCCTGGTTACAAAATAACTGCAGGAACAACTGTCTGAAAACAAGTCAGATATTGAAAATTTACTGTGAGAAAATACTCCAGCAAAAAACCGCGGCGTAAGTAGACGAATACTTAAACGGGTATTAGTTGTTCCTTTCTCACCATCAAAACCCATGATAAGCGAAGTGATTTCTTTAAAAAATGGTATTTTAATAAGCTCACAAGTCGACTATTGGGACTTTTGGGGGAGAAGAACACTTTGAGCAGCCATTCAACTAACCTACATTCGGGCTAAATCTGCCCAACATTTAACATCTACTTGAGTGGAATGTAGAAATTTGTCTTCCAATTGCAACTGAGATAGGAAAAGCTGTTTCTAATCTGGAACGATGTAAAGCAGTGGCACCTAGTGGAATGATCCCAATAGTTCAAGGAAGTTAATAATGAACTATTAGGTGGGTTAACTAAGATACAAGGCGATGTGTGGAAATTTGAGAGAGTCCCATTAAACTTGTGTGAACCATTGATTATCCCAATTTACAAGGAATAAAAGTCTTACTAAGATTATAACAGAAATAGGTTGACCGATTTCGTGTCTAAAATTCTGGGTCCAACAATCCTGTGCGGCCTAAGCGGCGTTCAGAAGAAATAAACTCGCATAAACCAGGCAAGCTTTAGGCCCAAAAGAGTGTATTGGTAATATCTTCACCCTTTGGCAGATTCTTTAACATGCCTGGAATCACCAGTGTCCAACACTTGCTGTTTCTCAGTCTGAAGGCAGAATTTGACTCTTTCAAAAGAGGTGCTGTAGAAATATCTGGGGTTAAAGGAAATGGGGATAAAGTATATCGCACTAACTAAGGCACACACAGAGCTCGAATTCACACAGCCAAGTAAGAGCTCGTGCGGAGATGCCATTTGAAGTGGTGATAACCACTGGTGTTCATTCTCTGAACACTTGAAACGTAATTCTTCGAATTTTTGGCCCACAATTAGACTTGTTAAATGTAAGAAAAAGGTTGCAAAACTTGTCTGCACTGATTCTTAGTTTCGAGATAGGCTGTGGGATGTTTGGACGTGTTATAAGGGAAGCTACATCAGCTTTAATTTTGAAAGAATACAAAAAGCTCGTATCGCACTTGCTAACTAAAGTCATTCCTGGCGTAGATATGATACCCAGGTGCTGATTAAAGGATATGTGTACTGAGTATCAGTCTGTTCTGTTCTTTTCTATGGATGCTAGACGTGGCCACTGAATATGGAAGATTAGTTATATATGATCATATATGTTTGCGTTCTACCGCCCACGTTAAGTGGTATTACATGGTGAGTAATATCGCGGTTAGAGTTGGTAGAGAGGCAAAGTTAACCGATGAGGCAGTCAAGCGGCATCGATTATGACGGCTTGGGCTAACCATGCCAAGCCATCTTCCTCGTCGAACAATGTCCGGTGACAAAAGAATTAAGTTGAAAGAAAGTTGGAGGTGATAAGACCGAAACATGACATCAGTCAAAGAAGTCTGATTCTTGATTTGAGCCACGTAAGGTATATAGGGCTTACCTGTGGTCCTCGAGACATTAAAAACCAATTACTAGAGACCGCTGCTCGCATGTCTCAAAATACTCCTCAGTAGCGCAGGTGCATTTGCTGTTTATTAACTCCTACACTTTACTTAATCTGCTGAACTTTTATGCAGAGTTCTTTGTTGAAAAATTGCCTCAACTTTGGAAGGAGCGCAGTGATCACTGGTACCATGTAAGCTTAATTACAAGTTTATATTACTCATTTAAGGGACCAAATCAGTGATTTAGGTATAATAGTAATCTATCTTGTGTGTCCTACAGAATAAACAGACATTTCCAATGGATGAAACTGGCTGTAAACTTAACAGACTAGGATACAACATATAGACATTCGACTATAGCAAAAATTGATATGAACAGAACTTGGGAAAGGTAGTACAATACAGCTCCGTACTAGAGCAGTTATGTGGTGAAAGTGATGTAGTATTATTCACTAATGGTATTTCCAACACAAATGTAAAATTATTTACCCCAGAAGCACGCATAGCTTAGGGTCAAACTCAGCAACTGCAATTAATGTGAGCACCTTGATGATTTCGACCAATACGTTGTGCTCGAAACGGTACCAATAAGTAATATTATATCACTGCTTTTATCACATGAATTTATTCCATTATAGAATCGCCAAAAATTGCCTAACCGTTTACATTCACCACATTACTGGCTTCGAAAATGTGACGGAAGTGCTATCGGAAAAACAGTAGGCATTGACATGGTGCAAGTACAAACTAGGAAGCAGTGATAATAGATGTTATTGTAAAGTAATTACAACTAAGAGAGTTGTATTCCTGCTGAAATTTCCTATTCCACTTAGCTCTTCGACAAGTGATAAGCAACGACTAAAACTGTGAGGAATATTACCTGAGATCTACAACTAAAGGCTGAAAACAGTCAGAACAAATGTGCTTGATAAGAACATGCTCATTATCTTATAGAAAGGAAATGGAAAAGGTGGTGTTTTGAAGTGACTGAGTTGTATTCAAATAACTATGATAGTTTTGTTATTCCTCTCAACAGAAATATTTCATGCATCTGATTTGTAGGTGGACGAAAATACACGAACAATAAGCGGACTGTCTGGACATCAATCTTATTTCTAAAGCAACAAGCACATTTTTACACACGATCTGATTAACCACGCTTCTACTTCCAGTCAACTTTGTCACCTTTATTATCTAGCAAGAACTAATAGATAATAGAGAAACCTATAATTCATAAGGTACATTGACAGTGATTTCAGAGTTCCTATGATGTGAATAAAACTTGTTACACAACAATAAAAACATAGTACTGTATTATCGTTTATAATATGGAACAAAACTGTTTTGTTGTCAGATTAATTCCAATTCGTATGCATATCAGAATAGTGATGTTCGTACCATCAAATATATAGGCGTACCTGTTTCAAAAGCCGTCGCCATTCTGATGACACGGTAATATACGATAGCAGTTACTCAACCCCACCGTAGCGCTAATCTGAAGCTGACCGCTACTCCACATCTCAAGGACAAGCAAAAACATTACCTTCTAAAAATCCTGTTGTTTCGCTGAACTCGGGGAGCCCAGTCTTTTTTCGAATGAAGTGGAAAGCGTAGAACTCTGGTTTTAGACATACAACTTTATTCTACGTATTGCAACCATATAGATACGGAGTTACGAACTAATCTGCCAAAATATTCTGCAAATACACTAACTCTTCAACAGCATTCGAAGTCAAAATAAAAAGGATGAGGTAGAGTTTGAAGTCACGTAGGTAGTCTCCCTGAGAGAGGTCACGAACCTTATCAAAAGGCTAAATACCATGCTGCATGCAGACTTGCGAAATGATAGCATAAGATTTTCAGATTGCATGATCTGCCAAAACAGTCACTGTAGTACTTTATACGAAACTTACTAAGTCAACCGGTGCGTGTATGTCTGCCTACATTCCCTTGATAGCATATGAAACGGACTTCATCAATGCAGAGATTGGCTTTAACATAGCCTCAGAAATGGTGAAAAATATGAGGGGTTTAATAACAAAGTGATCGAAACAACAGTAAACTAAGTAGGCACAAAAAATTGTCATATATGGAGTCTTTTATTCGTCTTACGAGAAGTAAATATCGTCTACACTCTGTTGATGAAAGGATCACAGAGATTGTACATGAAAGCTTCCGCTGCTGACAGAAGCGTATGATTACAAATGCTGGCTGTTTGTGATACCAACTTAACATTCGGAAGACTCGTACACGTCGTTAGTCGATGACAAAATACTGGGTGCTGTCCTTTACTGTTTAAGTTCACTCATTGTGCTAAAAGCTCGCGATCAAGCATCCACACGATTTGGTAAGCTGTCCTGTTACATTCTTATGTTTGCTCGTTCACAATCTTCAGTTAGTTGACCAAATAACCTCGAATTACCATTTTGATCCTGAAATATATTTCGTATTTTGTAGAAACGGTTTGACGTTTGGATTTGCCATTGGTCTAGGTGGAACAAGTGCTGCATGAGTAGTTGGTATAATAAACTGCTCTAGCATACGTCGTACTGAACGTAAACGGTAATACCCAGCCATATCCCGATCCCCACTCTTATTATGAACTCATCCACGTCACCCTCAGAGTCCAACTCGCCATTTCCTGTTGGCGTTTCAATCAACGTTCTTTTCAGCGCCTGTCTGATGCACCTCTATTTCTCCTGAATCTTTCTTGGACAGTAGGGTCATGGTTAGTCCGTTTCTACTGTTCTTTGTTGCAAATCCGTTCTGGCCATTTGGTCATCAATATCCAACGAGCGACGACAGCTGTTGGTGAAAGTTTGAAGTCTGTTTGAAAAGCATTTGTTGATACACTGTCTATGAACCATATAGAAGCACTGGTTTAACATAAGTATTGATTATCCGAATCATGTACTTAATACTGACTGCAGTAGATTTTCACACTGATTTCATACACTTTTCGGGCCTTGGCTTTGACATCCCTGCCCGTAATTGGAAGGATGCTTTCTACATAAGTGAGAGACAATTTCCCTAAACCTTCTTCTGTTGTTGGTACCTGCTGTTGGTGGTTTAGTGTCTTTAACTACGTCGACTCTGTGTTCAACTAAAGTCCTGTACTTACCGCTTCTCCTTTCAACTTGTTGGTGTTCGCCTTTAGGTCTTTGTGTTGTATGAGACATCAATCGTCTCCGAAGTCTATATCGTTGATGCCTTGTCCCATATATTCCTATCTCTAGCTCCAAATGACCTACCACATGAAACCCTGTAATGATGCTGGTCATAAAAAAGTTTCCTGTGAACATTAATTCAAACCCCTGGGATTTTTCTCAGTGTTTTTTTCCTGTTACTATTCTTCTCAGATTTTATGTCACTGCATAAACCAGCTAATGGGAACGTGAATAGTTTGACTTCCTTGTTTTCACACCAGGATCATAAATTCGACCTTGTTTGACTCTCAGTTTCGCTTTTTTGCAGATTTATCACAGCTGAAGTAAGCATTAGGTATGATTCACCATGCAGGGAATCACAAAACTGACCCAAGTATTTCGACTCAACCAACTTACTTGCAAGTGGAATATATAACAATCCAGAGTATAAATATTAATATAATAGATTACAGAGATCAAGAAAATAGTTGTCTAATCTAAGCTCTTAGGAACAAATAATGAGCAGCCTCATTTAAGAATTTTACACCGTTAACTTGAAATGCGGGGCTTGAAGTTATACTGTTCGACCTTGTTTGTTTATAACAGTCAATCACAAAAACCATTATTGTAATTTTGAAAATAAGAGCCAATCAATTTTGATTTAAACACAGCTGATCCAAGGTCGCGACTTTCCTCTGTTATTAACTAGGCTGTCTGTGAAGATTTGTTAGTATTTCTCCTGGTTTCAACGCGTACTGCACCAGTAAGCATCATGTATGTTTTGTATATTGCACAAAAAATTACACATTATGTTTCACCCTATATAATAATTGGTGTAATGGTCGATATACTGCAACTTCATCCACTAGGTCACAAATGAATGGTGGAATTCTTTTTTGTTTCGAATTATGTGTCTTAGCTGGGGCTATGCATTCTTAGAAGTATATCATTTTAATTGGTTAGGATGCAGGTGAGAACTAGGTCATTATTAAGCTCTATGTGCACTGCTTTATTTCGGCAGTAAAGACATTATTTCAGCTTCAGATCCTATTTTTAAGGTTTTGTCTCATTACTTAAGCTTCCAGTGCTTTTTTCTGGAATGACCAACGTTATATCAGTACATAGCGGGTTCATTTTAGGTAGATAAAACATTTATTTACCATAAGAACGCATTATGAACACATAGGTTAGAGTTAGTTTAGAATTATTGTAAGCTTGGGTATCTTTTCATTTGTTTTTTCTTTCCAAGTTGAAGCTTACTGTGCTATCCTCATAAAATAGTGTAGATATCTTCTTTAGGCGTGTGTGATAATGTCTGGTTTTTAATTTACTAGTGATGAATTTAGTTATTAGCGTTTCTTCCCCAATTCTTCATCTCCAGAACTTGGGCTTATTTGATCATATCCCAATCATTCGCGAAAACTAAGCCGTTAATTCTGTTGAACATGATATGAGAGATTTACTAGTGCGATCACAAGTTCAATAATTGCTTGTATTTGAAATCATCCTATCAGTGTTTGACTTTGAGTTAATATAAATGAGGTATATTTCACTCAGTGATCACGAAATCTAGACTCTTACTTAGTTTCGCAGCAGTTTACTTGAGTGCTTTGCTAATTTTGATGGTCAGTTCTCGATTGAAAGGTGAAGTACCTAGACTAGCCACTTCTAATTATATATACCGATTCAACTGCGCTTGTGGAGCGAGCTATATTTTGGCCGTTGCTTTGGGAAATTGATTCTTCTTGCACGGGAACACCTACCAGTGTTGCTAAATAAAGGTGTAGTAAAAACCAACAGTTGGATATTAGACTACCTGGTCGAAACCGGTCACGAAGCCAGCATTGGCAAATAAATTGCTAAAGATATCGAAGTACCGCATACTCCAAACAGCAGAGTCCATTCGCCTGAAACAACCGGTGCTCTGTGTGCAGAAAAAGCAAGTGCAGCCACTACTATTGCCCTGGCCGGCCTTCAGTGGAGACTATTGATTCATGAATTTGTATAATCTTTCCTACTTTTCCTGATATTCAGTGTATTATTGTTACTATCGAAGTGTAATCCATTGATATTATTAATATTGATTCAATGTTATTTAAACAACATTAATGTTCATGCATTTATTCCTCTTGATGAATTTGAACAAAGCAGGAACAACGGTGGTTTGTGCAGAATAATGAAATGTGGAAACTTGAACTGATGCACTTTTGTGCAAAGCTGTACAATGCTTGTGTTGCAACAAATAAAAGCGATTCAATTTCTCCAAGGAATTTAATTTAGGATTCACTAAAATCCCTTTTTTTCAAAGTATGTTTATATAGGATGAAGCGAGTTTAAGATGAAAAGTGGAAAGCTTAAAACGATATATTTACATGTTAGTTTGAAATGGTAGACTATAAGTTGAAAGTGTTATCGGAGCAAGTTGTTGGTTTAGTCTTGTTAGTGGTGAGAAAAAGTTGTTCTGTGAGATAATTTGGAGTTTCGAAGAACCTTTTTTCACAAATGTTACTCCAATGCATCATTAGAAAAGTCGTTTAAATCCCTCGCAAAGCAGAAGATTGATAAGGCAATGGTGTCCTTAAAAAAACTGCTAAAACAAGTTCACATCTCACAAGTTTTTAGTCAATTTTATCAAATAAATAATTTTAATTTCCCTAGGATGAGTCGATTTTAAACTTCTCTTATTTGAAATACATTCACATAGTGTTTGGATAATCCACTTGTCAGTAAACTATACCCACCTTTTTGAAATAATCAGCTTGTTTTTTATTGCGTTCAACCATGATGGTTTCTAGTCTAGGCTTTTTATGCATTTGGTTAAAATAAACAAACAAACGTAGTAAAAATGAAAGTCTTCATTCTTAGATAAATATACTTATTTTCAGAAAGAGTAATAATCTGTAACATACGAATAATGATGCGAGCTTGGCAATTAGTCGATATCAATGGTGAAATTATCAATGAAGAGGATATTTCCAGTGTTGGTAAGTCCGAGATCTATTATTTGAAATTATGCTGTAAACGCCAACAAATAAAGATAACATTTGTAAATACTGTTATTATTTTAGATTTTACAAACGTTTATATCCACTTTTTTGAATTCCATCACCTTTAGGCTCATTACAGTTGTCTGTTAAGTGAGGAGAGACGGGATCTCACACCTAGTTAGTTTATGAAGATGTTTCAATAATTTCATGGATGGGAAGTATTTAAAAGTTAGCTATATCAGTAACTAATTGTTTAAAATATAGATTGTTGTCATCGACAACTCTTGTCTATTTTCTTTGCTTCGCTTTGACAAATGTATTTATATAATTAAATAATTCCCATTGTAGCATTAAGAACACAATATTCAGCGAAGAAACTCTTTTCAACGAATTTATTATCAAGCTGTACAATCGCATACATGTGGTTTTTTTTCCAGAAATTATATCCGGTGAGGGAATTAGGTCAAAGGTGTGAATACATGAATCACAAATATTTTAATTGCATTTCATACTATTATTATTTCATGTTTTCACACCTTTGACCTAATTCCCTCACCGGATATAATTTCTGAAAAAAACTATATATATATATATATATGCGATTGTACAGCTTGATAATAAATTCGTTGAAAAGTCTCTTCGCTGAATATTGTGTTCTAAATGTATTTATGCCATAGATAACTCATATTAACTACAAAAGATGACAAAGTTATTTTACAACCTGTTTTTAAGATAAATTGAAGCAAGTGAAGTACTAGATGCTTTTACGAAGCTGAACCCGAAAATTCCAGACGATTACAAGGGTTTATGTCATTAAAAAGCACCTTATTTTGGTATGTTCATGATTTAATGCGCTGATTTCTAGATTTGTGCTACTGTTTCATGTAAATTTCGGCGAAGTTTTATTTTACTACTTCTTAAATTTCAATACCTTTCTATCACTATCTTGTAATAAAGCAAGGAAACTTTTTGTTTTTTTCATCAGAAGTACTAATTCTACATTTGCTTCTAGTGAATTCTATACAAAGATTAGATAATGTCCTTTTTAGGCGAAATATTTGAGCTGGTTGTGGTAGCACCCATACATTCATATCTGACTTTTTTTGTCCTTCATTGACCTTGCTACATAGTCCTTTGTATTATTGCGCTTCACAACTTTTGATTGCATTTTTTTCATTTGTTTGTCTTTTCACGGATTATCTTCCATTCGGCATACAAATGTAAAAATCATCACGTAGCATTATTTGAAATGTTTATTTGCCATTATGTGGACGCTTTAATATCCGTTGCTTATCAGTCCGATTCTCACCAGTAGCACCTTTATTTTCTGTGTGCATATGTGATTATAGTTCATTAGCCTGGAGACAACTTCACCGTCTTGAGTGTGGAAAATAGTGGCGGTAAAATTAGCTTTCACAAGTGTATTCTATCTCACTTCCTGTAACACGACTTGCTTATGCTAATTCATTGGGTTGTATTTTTTTATTTTGAAGACCCAGTAATGTGATGAACCTTTCATTATTGTCGTTCATATTACCCTCTTAGCGCTGAACATCTTCCTTTTACTACGAAATTCAGGCAGCAAAGTTCAAGTGATCTTTGAGCGATAGTATTTAGAATGTTGTCTACACTTGTTTTGAAGTGCTTCTGTTTTCAACTTGTGTACCCTTTCAATGGGGGTCGTCCAAAATAGTGTATTTGACAACTTATCATTTGTAATTATCATTCATTTATCTGTAGTATGCAAATATTACGATTCCACAACAGAATAGTTTTTTGATATAACACACACTGATACAGTAGGATTTACTTCTTGATAACGTTTCAAGTAAATTTCGTTGCTCATAATCATGTCAGTGTGTTATAATAAATAAAATTATTCTGTTGTCGAATTATACTCTACTACAGTGCCCAGATTCTATTTTCCTATATTTATGCTACATGTAATAACTTTATGCATAGCGAAAATTATGTGCATATGGATAATAAAATGTGTCACTGTATTATTGTTTTCTCAGCTATAGTCAGCGAACACAAATTTAAAGGTGACAAGATTTCATAATGAGCTGACATCGGTTAGAGAACCATTGGAAAACCTGGGAGCACTGGACTGCTGTTTTGTCGTAGTCTGAAACTTTTCAGCAGTACTCACCCACCAAGGTTCGAACCAAAGACCTTCTGGTTACAAGGTTAGCTCGCAGACCATTAAGCCATTGGGACCCGACCCAAAAGCCCATGAATTCCAACTTCTCCAAATTCACGACCGGGTTCGAATCCTGCCGGTGAATGCGTACTGATGAAGAGTCTCAAGCCAGGACGAAACAACTGTCCACCACTCCCAGGTTTTCCAGTGTTTCTCTAACCGATGTCAGCTCGTGATGAAATCCTATCACCAATCAATCAAATCCCTACAAACCAATACTTGAATACAAATTTAAAGCTTGCTACCATTTTTGTGTCACTAGCATAATTTTCATTTTTAAATGTCTGTTTCATTAACATACCTTTTTGATATATCTGTTTAAGAGTTGAAAAATTTCCATTTTAATTGGTGTAAAAACTTTTACAATTTTTTGTAATTACTATGTATTTTGATAGGGAAATAACATCTTTTTCACAGCTGTTCTAGTAACAGATAGCTTGTCAAGAAAAGGGAGGAAGAAATGGAAAATTATTATTATTAACCTCTACATCTGGGTGGTTTATTGGAGTCAGTTCATATCAAGACAGTTTCCATCACTAATTGAAGCGAATTGCAGAGCTATTGGGAACAAAAACGTGACAGTACTCTCAAGCTTCTAAATATTCGGTAGTTAGTACCTACAAGTTGTATAGTAGTCAAAGGTAGTAGTTTTGTGTTTCTACTGGGTTTAGTAACTTATTTTGTAGTGTGTCTGTGGTAGTATTTTTGTCGAGAAATTTAATAACTTTACATTGAACTTGTTTCATGGTCTACGTAGTGGCCGTTGTTGTACAATATCCCGACTGAAGTAAATTTCCGAGTAGTATCCTTAATAAGATACTACCGCTGTCTACGAGCCGGCGCAAGGTAAGTCGGGATGTACAACTTTTAGGGTCTACCTTTCCTAACCATCAGACTACTCAGATTGGAGAGGTGGGACAGCAGGCTTGCTGGTCGTCCTAGAGAAACACCTTACTGCCGCTGCATCCCTATTCGTCAACAATAGAAAAATTTAGTTAGCTGTGCAACCTATAGAAAAAATACAACTTTTCAGAAGTGAAGGAAATAGAGGTAGTTTTATAACGCAGCTACTGATTTCATACAATGTGTTAAAATAATTTGATTTATCAAGTCAAAAACTTGTAAACGCTGTAACATCTTTCTGTCGTATTATCCTAGGTACATTTTACCTTTTTAAACTATCGATCGCTCAAGATTTATTACTGGTTTTAACATTTAAATGCTCTTTTAAAATGTAGGCTATGATATTTACTGATAATTTGAATTTTCCAGTCGAATTTCTATTTTTTGTGCGGTATGATAATTGTATTAAACTGCTTAGTGTGCTACATGCAGTGTAGTGACTTGAACTGCTGCACATCGGTGCGAAGTTCTATGGTGAAAACAGAGAGACAGACAGTATTAAACTGCTCAATGTTATTGAAGACGAGATATTACAAAAGCAATTTCTGTACTATATATATATATTATATATATATATATATATATATATAGTGTAGTTAAAGAAACAAACATTTGATCCTCTTTAATATTGAATTAGTGCCCATATATATACATATATTTGAAAGCCAGAAGTAGCATAACACGGAAGATGTGTGCAAATGGTGATTTCAAGATAACGTGCACATAATTTCGCTACATAGAGATATCGAATTTCAAATAAACATTGCTTACTATGTTTCTCGTCTTCTACCTCTATATATATATATATATATATATATATGGGCACTTATTCAATATTAAAGAGGATCAAATGTTTGTTTCTTTAACTACACTTTTTGTAAAAACGAGAAATGTTCATTGAATGAATTCATGTTTTGATTGCTCAACCGATAAACGGTTATTTTATACGACAGTCAATTTGCTTTTAATTAATACATCCGTCTTATTCACTATCGCTTAGCTAAAATGGAACAAAATACTTCACGGAAAGAATTTCATCACTACTCTTTCAATGAAAAAACAACTAAAATATCATGATTTCATAAAAATTACGTGGTGATTTCTTTCTTTGTCTGATTAGTCAAATTGTCGGTTAGGAGTATTTTCTTTGATCATTAATCAAGTAGATGTTGTGTTACTGTTGGCATAATTTTCGCAATCGATATTTGAAATAATGACAGGTGCTGAATAATGCAGGTGTAGTATCAGCTCACCAAAAAGAGAAAAACAGTCTCATTATGGGTTTTGCAAGATGAGAAGCTCTGAACAACAGCTTCGTCATCGTTCAGGCACCATCGGGATGTTTCAACCATAAATTCTCGAGTGATCAACTTTTGTGAAGACCAGCGCTGCATAGAGACATACTTGGCGCAGTAATCCCATAGATTGGTGAACCAAAATAATTATTTAGACCACTCTAATTTTGAACTACAATGTAAAATAAATAAGATCTATGGGCGAATGTGCGGCTAGCAGTAGTGGAATTCAAGGGGTGTACTTGTCTCTGTTTAGAGCATGTCAGTGGGAGACACAATGAATGATGTTTCTATCATCCGAAACACAAGGCTTATCGCTTCAAATTCTGGGCTATTGTGTTTTGTTAGCAAGTTTTAGTGAACAGATATTTTACCAGCAGCTGATTCACTGAACAAGAGCGGACATTTTTTTCGTAGCACATTAGTTTGTTGTGTGAGACGCGCACCCTGGATTACAAAGATACTTGGTAACAAGTACACATAATCAAGATCTAACTACAGGCAGTATTGAGACTTTTGTACAAGGACTCAATATCTGATATGAGACTGACCAACTAAGTCTCTTCTAATAAGTAATGCAAAAATCAACAGTCCTA